AAGAACATTCAGTGCATAGTTTGCATTTTCTGGTCTTATACTTGCATCATCTGGATTAAGCACCACCATTTTTAATGAATGAAAAACTAGAAATGTCTAATTAATGTTTAACAGAAAAGGTAACAATTCTTAAATCTCACCATCATGATTGCTCTTCACTCGATGGAAGTCTACTAATATTCCCCAAGTAATTGGGTCCTCAATTGAGAATGACGGAGACTTTCCTTCATCAGTGCATTGTATGCACAATACCTTGCCATATTTCATAGAGGGTATGCAATACTTTGGTGACGTTACAATATCACGAACCTCCTTCTTCAAACTTTTATATTGCTGAATCAAATTGTAATGATTCTTCAAACTATCCTCTTCTTCAATTTTCATTGAATCCCTCTCTTCTTCCAGGACCTTTATTTCTTTCTGCAAAAGTTATCAGTTCAGCAGTCAGTTCTACGGTGGAGCTAAACAACTAAAGAATAAGTTATTAAGCATTTTGTTTTGTGTTCTAGCAAGACTTTTCGTGATTATTCAAAACTCAGTTTGGCACAAATCTTGGTTAATTATTTGTTCATAATGAAAACAACACAAAAGAAAAAATTAGCTTCATATCATATCAATTAATTTACTAATCAGTTTAGTAGACAAAGTCTGTCTCCAAGTAAACTACAAAAGAACTTCAGATACATGTTTTACCATTGATAAAAAAGCTTAATAATTTTATTAACAGAATCTAAAATCAGTTTTATTATTCTGGAAACAGAGGTAACTAAGATGAAGGTACCAAAAAATATAAAATATTTCTCGGAATCCATAAATAGCAACAAACCTCAAGATCAGGAATGGCACGATCAGCCTGGAACTGATAGAATGAATTACGCAACATATTTTCAGGATTACCATCTTCACAGCGCAGTTTATTTAAAAGCAAGTTGTAGTTCAAATGAAAGGCACTTGAAACACAATGGAAAAAGTCAAGATGAAGGAAATGAAGGAAATAACGGTATTCTCAGGGAAAGTACATATCATAAATCAAAAGTAAATCCAGCAATTCTTGTTTTATTCGAGTTTCTCATTTTTATAATAAGATTTTCCTCATTCGATATCTGCTGCTTTTAGCATTTGTTGAAGTTTAAATTCCTCAATCCCCACCCCACCCCTTATCAGTTAAAAAAAGGACAATAAAATTACCAAAATGGCAATAAAAGTTGGGAGAAAAATCCTAAACGAAATCAAACTCTTAAATAAATTCTTGAATTCTTCATACGTGTTTAACCTGTCACTGCATTCAATGTTGCAATTAGTCATTCTCCCAGATAATTGTCAATCATATTTTCATGATCCTAGAACACCTACATATTGCTAGCCACCCTTCTAAACCCAAAATAACAAGGAATAATCACTGAGAAGAAGTATCTGAAACTAACCCTTAACCTAACTACCTCAAATAAATTGCTACAAAAGAAACAGTATCTTCAACCTTCTCCAACTATGAACCCAAAATCAATCTATTGATTTTCATATTCCTTTTATTAGAAGATGCTCATAAATGAGTTAACAAACTAGTTTCTCTTTTGTGAAACATTAGCCTGGGAAAAAAAAAGGAAGGATCAAAACAGTAAAAAAAATCATTTTATTTTGCGATGTATATGCTTTATGGTTTTACAAGTACAGACACCCCCCTCAAAGAAGCCATTCTTCAGAAACAGAAATTGGTTTGACTAAAACAACTGAAACCTTCTGACCCATCAGGAGTCAAGCCACCTCATAAGAGTACATGTCGTCACCATTAAACTTAACAGTCCATCTATCTGAGATCCTAATAGCATCATAAACGAGCTCACTTCAAATCCACTAAACAAGAACAAAAGAAAAATAAAAAACAAAAACAGCCATAGATGTGACAAAACTTTTAAACTAACAAGGATAAAAAAACCCCATGAGATACACCCCAAAATTGAATACTAAGAAGCATCCAAGTGATAATAGAACAGCTTATAAACATCCTGCATTGGCAGAAGAAGTACCCGTTCAAACTATCAGCACTTCCCTTAAGCATCAATTTAGCAGTATAAGGCTCCAACTTTTCATCTACCATTAGGATGCATATTCCTTTCGTCAATACCTCGACAACCAGCACGGCCACTCATTTGTATGTACTCTCCACTAGGTATCCATCTAAAATTGTTCCCATCGAATTTACCAACATTTGAAAAACAAAAGTTTTGGCTGGCATGTTCAGACCTATGCTGAAAGTCTGTGGCAAACAAACACTGAAGAAAATTCTTTTAACATTTATAACACCTCAAGAACAACTTTCTATTCAAGGTTAATTCAACCAAGAGTATTACACCAAGAAGCTAAACATACAAGAAAGTCAACAAAAAAATATCCCACCCCCCCAGCCACCCTGCACAGTAAGAGTAGGATCCCAATTAATAACATGGGGTAATTAACTAACCCAATATGAACTTGCTAAGCCAGGTATTTGTCCAAATTCTATTAGATTCTTCAAGTGTGACTGAAAAACTACATCTTGAATTGTATAAGCCAATACCTAATCTATAAAATTTGAAAATATGAATGAATAGAAATCTGAATCCCTTAAGCATGTATGAAATTTGAAAATATGAATGAATAGAAATCATTTCTCAGACTAAGGTGAAAGAAATTTAAACCTGTTCTTATATTAAAATCTTTAATATAAGAAGAAACTAGAAACTGCAATCGGCCCAGATATTCTCAGACTGAAATGTAATTATGCACGTAGGCTAGGCTAGGCTTAAATTGGGATTTGGGACCAAGCGCAAACTCAAGCCCATAGACAAAAGGGTATATCCAGCATGAAACCTGAAGCCCATATCCAATTGTTCACATTTACAAGACACGTTTACTGATTGGATTGGGATTTGGGACTGTGTTATGGGCTTTACAATGTCCGGTCCAGTCCAGTCCAGTCCAGTAGGCTCTTGCTGATTGGGCTTGATTTGTACGTAATAATCAATATTTGTCGTTAAAAGCCAACGGAACCTTTCTTTCTTTCCTTCTTTCTTTGTTTATTATTCTCTGGGCGTGGGGCGTGTGGTGTGTAGCGTGTTGTGTGTCCATGGCAGCAACACTCACTTACTGCTGCCACTGCAAGCCTTCCCCATTCCTCGGCCAATTTCCCCCTAACTTTGTAAGCATTCCAAAGACATTTTCTGTATTTACGTACCTGTTTTGCTTTGTTTGATTACTGATTACCGTTAAACCACTGACATGCATAGGCATAGCGCTTTCATGTTTCATCTATCTATTTTCTTAACTTCAGTTGCCTCTGTCTTTCATTCTAGAAATCTTTTGTTGTTGTTGTTGTTTTCAAGCATGAAAATTGATTTTTAATTGCTGTCTGTCTGTCTGTTTGGTTAATTGATGATTTCTCAGGGGAAAGGGAAATCATCAGTTGGACAAAGCGTCAGGAATCCAGTCTATGCCTCTACAATTACTGCACTATTTTGGG